ATAGATATGTCTCACGTCGATGTTTTTCTCTCTTTCTCTCCCTCCCTTCCACTCTATCTAAAAATCAATGGAAAAATAATCCTCTGGTGAGAATTAAAAAAAAACAAAAAAAACTGCTCTGGCTGGTTTTGCTCAGCGGTTAGAGCGTTGGCCCATGAACCAGAGAGTCCCGGGTTTGGTTCCCACTAGGGGCACATACCTCGGTTGCAGTTTGGTCCCAGTTGGGGTCGTGTGGGTGGCGACAACTCGATGTGTGTCTCTCTCATGTTGATGCTTCTCTCTCTCTCTTTCTCCCTCTCTCCCTCCCACTCTATCTGAAGATAAATGCAAAAATGTCCTCAGGTGAGGACTAAATAATAAAAAATAAAAAAACAAAACAAAAACAAAGACATTCTTCACAGAAATAGAAGAAATAAACCTAAGATTAGTGTGGAACCACAAAAAACCCCACAAATATCCAAAGCAATCCTGAGAAAAGAAGAACAAAGCCAGAGGTATCATGCTTTCTGATTGCAAACTATACTACAAAGTCATAGTAATAAAAACAGTATGGTACTGGCATAAAACAAAGAAATCCAGAATTAAATTCTGGCATATATGATGAACTAATGTTCAACAAGGGAGTCAAAAACACCCAATGGGGAAAGGATAATGCTGGGAAAACTGGAGAAACACATGCAGAACAATGAAATTGGACCCCTATCTCACACCACTCAAAAAAAAAAAAAAGATGAATTCAAAATAGATCAAAGACTTAAACATAAAACCTTAAACCATAAAACACCGAGAAAGAAAACATAGGGTAGAAGCTCTTCAGCACTGGTCTTGGCAATGACTTTCTGAATATGATTTTAAATTTTGTTTTGTTGATGTTAAAACCTCAAACAACAAAACAAACAACAAACAGGACTGCATCAAACTCAAAAGCTTCTGCATAGCAAAAGAAAAATGAACCACATGAAAAGAAAACCTAAGAGTAGGAGAAAATTTTTGCAAACTATCAGATAAGGAGCTAATATTCAAAATATGAAAAACTCATATAACTTAATAACAACAACAACAAAAAAATAGACAATCCAATTTAAAATAGGCAGAATAGCCCTGGCTGGTTTGGCTCTGCGGTTAGAGCATTCACCTGCAGACTGAAGGGTCATGGCTTTGATTCCCAGTCAAGGGCACATACCTGGGTTGTAGGTTCAATCCCTGGCCCCAGTCAGCGTCACGTGGGAGGCAACCAATCAATAGGTCTTTCTCACATCTCTCTCTCTCTCTTTCCCTCCCTCCCACTCTCTCTTAAAAAAACAAAACAAAAAAACAATGGAAAAATATCCTTGGGTGAGAATTAGCATAACAAATAAATAAATAAAATGGGCAGAATACCTAAATAGATATTTTTCCCAAAGAGGACATCAAAATGGCCAACAGATACATGAAAAGATGTCCAACGTCACTAATCATCAGGGAAATGCAAATCAAGACCACAATGAGACATTACCTCACACCTGCTAGAAGGGCTATCATCAAGACAAGAGACAACTAGATGCTAAAAAAGGGAACCCTTAAACACTGTTGGTGGGACTGTACACTGATCCAACCACTATGCAAAACAATATGAAGGTTCCTTAAAAAAATAAATATAGATCTACCATATGATCCAGGAAAGAACTCACTGAAAGGTACCATTCAGCCCTGGCCAGTTTGGCAGAGCAGTTAGAGTGACAGCCTGTGGACTGGAGAATCCCTGGTTCGGTTCCTGCTAAGGGCATGTACCTCAGTTGCAGTTTGTCCCTGGCCTTGGTTGGAGTTGTGCAGGTGGCAACCACTTGGTGTGTCTCTCTCACATCAATGTTTCTTTCCCACCCCCAACTCTATCTGAAGATAAATGCAGAAATGTTCTCGGGTGAGGATGAAAAAAAAAAAAAAGGTAACATTCAAGTAGAGTCCTGAAGGAGGAAAGAGAATGAATCATGAGTCATGTGTATTCATGTGAATACCCAAGGAAGAACATTTACAGCAGGACAACTGCTATGGCAAAGGCCCTGGGGTGGGGATGTACCTTTCTGTGAAAAGAACAGCCAAGGAGCCCAGACTAGCTAAAATAGAATGAACAAAAAAGAGAGTAGCAGGGGGTAAGCCAGAAAGGTAATAAGCTGGATCATACATGAAATGAGTTTGGCTGTTAATGTGAGTGAGATGGAAAACTATTAGGGGTGGGGATGAGATAGTGAAGTAAAATGATCTAAATTATATTTTAACAGGATTACTTGGTTCTTATGTTAAAGATAGATGTAGGACAATAACTTACACCATACATGAGAATAAACTCAAAATGAATAAAAGACTTAAATGTAATTCGTGAATCCATAAAAATCGTAGAAGAAAATGTAGGCATCAAAATCTCAGACATCATACGCAGCAGAATTTTCACTGATAACATCTAAGGCAAGAGAAACAAAGGGAAAAATGAACACATGGGACTACATCAAACTAAAAGCTGCACAGAAAAAGAAACAACCATCAAAATGGAAAGGGATCCCACTATATGGGAGACCATAATCGCCAATGATACATCAGATAAGGGGTTAATTTCCAAAATATATAGAGTGCTCATACAACTCAACAAAAGGAAGACAAAGAACCCAATTAAAAAATGGGCAGAGGACCTAAATAGACACTTCTCCAAAAAGGACATACAAATGGCCAAGAGACATATGAAGAAATGCTCAACATCACTAATCATCAGAGAGATACAAATTAAAACAACTATGAGGTATCACCTTACACTTGTCAGAATGGCCGCCATCAACAAATCATCAAACAAGTGTTGGCGAGGGTGTGGAGAAAAGGGGACTCTAGCACACTGATGGTGGGAATGAAGACTGGTGCAGCCACTGTGGAAAACACTATGGTGTTTCCTCAAAAAATTAAAAATTGAACTGCCATTTGACCCAGTGATCCCACTTCTAGGAATATACCCTAAGAAACCTAAAACACCAAACAAAAGAATATATGTACCACTATGTTCATAGCAGCACTATTTACAATAGCTAAGATCTGGAAACAACCAAGTATCCATCAGTAGATGTGTGGATTAAAAAGCTGTGGTACATGTACACAGTGGAATACTATGCAGCTGTAAGGAAGAAAGATCTCTTATCTTTTGAGATGGTATGGAAGGACCTGGAGAGTATTATGCTAAGCGAAACAAGCCAAGCAGAGAAAGACAAATATCACATGATCTCACTTATTTGTGGAATATAATGAACTTAACAAACTGCTGAACAAAATTAATCCAGAGACATGGAGGTGGGGTACAGACTGACAAGCCTCAGAGGAGGAGGATTTGTGGGGGAAGAGATAAACCACAGAACCTACATGCATGTATGCATGAGCAATGAACATAGACAACAAAGCTGGGGATGAGGTCAGGGGAAAGGGGAGGAGGGTGTCAATGGGGAAAAATGAGAAACATATGTAACAAAAAAAATAAACAAATAAAAAAGTGGGGAAAAAAATAAAGGTAGATGTAGGAAGGGGACAGGGGGTAGGGAAGATGTAAGGCAAGGGAACCAGTTAGGAAGCTATTACAATACAGGTGAGTTGAGTATGATTTGGGTGAGGTAACACCACAGTGAGTGATAATCAGATTCTGGGTTGCAGAGCTGAACTGATCTGCTGATGGATCAGATGTGAGGTGTGAGAAGATGAGGGCTTAAAGATAACTCTATGGTTTTCATTTTGAACAACTAAAATCATGGAGTGTTCTGGAGTATCTAACATTTAGTCATCAAAGACTTAAGGGGAAAGCAGCAAATGAGACTGAAAATAACTAGTTTATGAGGAAAAAGAAAACCAGGAGATTAATGTGTCCCAGAGGCCAAAAGAAGAAAGAGCTATTAGGTGGGGGAAGTGGTCAAGTGGATCAAATGCTGACGGGTTAAAAGATGAGCTCTGGGAAATGATCACTGGATTTTGCCACACAGGGTAGGGAAATAGGCGAAAGAAAAAACAGGACTGCTGGGCAGGATTAAGACTCAATTTGAGATTAGTGTTCATTAGTTTGAAGAGGGATTAGTCAGCATGTTGTGTGTTTTAAGTAAGCTACCTTCAGCCGCAGTTAGAGATGCGATGTTGTATGTAAGCAGGGTTGGGGTTCTACCAAAGGCATCTGACAGAAAGTGGAGCAATAGACTTGAGGGTATGTATTAAGGGTATGATTATAACTGACACAGCATGAGAACTGAGGGTGGAAGAGGGACAGTGAGTGACCAAGTGACAGAATTGTAGGTGATGGTGGAATTACAGGAATATTGGAGTTAAGGCACTAGAGGGAGTTAACTAGAAAATTAAAAGCAATAGAATATGTGAAGTTTGCTTGAAACAGATATTAATAAAGAATTTTAGATACTGTAATCTCAAGATACCCTTACTACCATGAGAAGGAGTGGATGAGGTATGGTGGAAGACAAGATCACTGAAGGTCAAGATTAAAGAGACCAAGAAGTCAGAATATTAAAAGCTTTACCAATGTGCATTTTAAAATCACCAAATATTACAACACCACTCATGCTGTAGAGAATGACAGTTTGCTAAGAGCTAGAATGGCTGAAGAAATATAATGGGAAAGTAATATAAAGTGTTTTAGTAGGATGAGAAGGGTTCCTTTTTCCTAGTAGTCCCATTTTTCTCTCCCCAGAGGTATTTATTCCCACATATTTTTATACTCTGTGTGTGTGTATACATATACACATACACATATACACACAAACACCTGTGGAAAACAAATGTCATTTTGTTTATTTTAATTTTGTGACTTTACATAAATATTATATTGTATTCTGCATAAATTTCTACAACTTTATTTTGTCTACTAAATTTTGTCTACTTGATTTTGTCTAAAAATGTTCTTTTCAAGATAAAACAAGCCCTTATAATAAACAGTTCCTAACACTGTGAGCCCAACTCTAAAAGGAAAAATATTATCTTAAATATATATTTACCTTGAAGCTTTCTACTAAGTTCAAGCTTTTCCTGTTCAAGGCGCTTAATCCTTCTTTCATAAGCTTCAGTTGCTAAGTTGTTATCTAGAGTCCTCTGAACATTAACATCAAGATCCAGTGAAGTGGGAGCAGCTGTAACTCTTAAACAGCTCCTATCAGAAAGAACACTGAAGGGAAAAAACAACAAAACGTGGGTTTCCACTGAAACAAAATGTTTGAAGAAAAATAATATCCTTCTGAAACCATTCATTTAAATCATGGATTTGAACATCTGTTTACAGGTCACCATCTAGAGTCATTGTAAAACACTTTTTGGGGGGGTTCAAAATCAGCATAAATAACCTTTTAGAAGCATTTATTAAAATGAAAACTTAAATTACCCTGTATTTATTTTAATAACCAAAAATCATAAAATGAAGTTTGTTGAAGGGTTATTGGTAGTTTAAAACACTGCAACCATCTAAGTGAATTAGTCAAAAGCACCAACCATGGCCCTCTTTACTGGAATCTGGAATTCAAAAGTAAAATGCTTACTTTAATGCAATACAATTTAAATAAAAATATTTGAAGTACTGAACACTCAGCAACGAACAAAACTTGTCCAATGTGGAGTTTATATTCCAGTGATAGAGACAAAAATAAACAAGATAAATAAGTAAAATATTCAGTACATTAGATAATGTTAAATGCTAAGGAGAAAACAAAAGCAGGAAAGGGGGAAATGAAGTATTGAGAGGGAGGAAATAAAAATTTAGATAAAGAGGTTCGGAAAGTCATTACTCAGAAAGTAACTTTGTATAAAGTTCAGAGAGGGGACTCTGGAAATATCAGGGAGAAGCATTCTAGGCATATGGAACAGAAGTGCAAAAGCCCTGAAACAAGAGTATGATTGGCATGATGTCCACTGGCCAGAGAGGAGACCTGAGTGGCTAGAGTGGAGTGAGCAAGGGGAAGAGTTATAGTAGATAGAATCAGACATATAAAGTGATTCTCTATGCCTTATAAGTACTTTGAAAAGAGAGTGTTTTTGTTTTGTTTTTTATCCTCACCCGAGGACATTTTTCCATTTTTTGTACAGACAGAGTGGGAGGGAGAGAGAGGAAGAGGGAGAGAGAGAAACATCGATGTGAAAGGGACACATCGAGTGGCTGCCACCCTCACGACCAACCAGAGCCGGGGACAAACTGCAACCAAGGTACATGCCCTTAGCGGGAATCGAACCCGGGTCTCTCCGGACCGCAGGCGGACGCTCTAACCGCTGAGCCAAACCGGCCAGAGCTGAAAAGAGAGTGTTTTAATGGGAAGGAATCATGACAAATAAGATGAGACTGAGTAAATAAGTGAGACTAAGACCAAGAACTGGTCATTACATTTAGCAACATGGAGGTTGGTGGTAACATTGATAAAAGCAGTATGCGTGAAGTGATGGGAGTACCACGTTGACTAGAGTGGTATCAGTGGTATCAGTGGTATAGAATGAGGAAAAAAAGACAATATAGATAACAGTTGGAAGTAATTTTGCTATAATGTGGAGCAGAGAAATGGTTGGTAGCGAGTAAAGAAAGTGGGATTAAGAGAGATTTTACACTTTGCTTTAAGATGGGAGAAAAAAACTGCAAGTCTGTGGGCTGATGTGAATGATGTGATACAAATGACACAGAAGGGGAAAAAACCTATGAGATAAAAGCAAGCAGTGCACTAGAGCAGGTAAGAGGGGAGGGAAGCAGCTCACAGTTCTTGCCTAAAAAGAAGAGCATATGAGCCCTGGACGGTTTCGCTCAGTGGTTACAGCGTCAGCCTGCGGACCAATGAGACCCGAGTTTGATTCCAGCCAAGAGCACATACCTCGGTTGTGGTTCGTCCCCTGCCCTGGTTGGGGTCACACAAGAGGCAACCAGTCAATGTGTCCCTCTCATGTTGATGTTTCCCTCTGTCTCTCTCTCTGTCTCCTTTTCTCCTTCCCTCCTACTCTGGCTGAAAATAAATGGAAAAATATCCTTGGGTGAGGATAAAAAAGAAAAGAAAAGCATATGGTTCAAGGTATGTAGGTGATAAATGCGGTGATGGGAGCTGTGGAAGTTGTCTGCTGTTTGCTTCAACCTCTTAGTGAAAGAGAAGAGATCATCAGGTGAGAGTAAAGATGACAGGTTTCAGAGGAAAGTATACAATCCGAAATAGATGTATCTGAGAGAGTGGAAGCGTGAATACACGAGGGTAATACGGTATATTTGCCAGGCAGTAAAAAGGGACACTTGAGGTTGGTAATCAGGACCTTAAAGTGAGACCAGGAAGAATGGTCACAGATTTTTTCCTAGACACTGCACAGTTACAGGCAGAAAACTGAGTTGTAACGATGAATGTCAGCTTAGCAAAGCCAGTGTAACAAAATGAGATGGTCAAGGAATTGAGGGGGCATTTTTAAGGAGTGTTTACAATTATTATCATTGAAATTTTAACTGGTTAAGGAGTAAAGAGAAAATATGAGTGGAATCAGGGTCAGCAAAGATGGTTAAGATTAGTGAGTTGAGCCCTGGCCAGTTTAGCTCAGTGTTTGAGCGTTGGCCTGCAGAACAGAGAGTCCTGATTTTGGTTCCCACTATGGGCATGTACCTCGGTTGTGGTTTGTCCCTGGCCCCAGTTGGGGTCATGTGGGTGGTAACCACTCGATGTCTCTCTCTCACATCGATGTTTCTCTCCCCTGACCCCATCTGAAGATAAATGCAAAAATGTCCTCGGGTGAGGATAAAAAAGAAAAGATTAGTGAGTTAAAAGTTCTGATTCTTGACACCTAGAGAATATTTATTCAATAGAAAAGGAACTCTTCAAATTCCTGCCCCATTGTTAATAGTTAGATTCTGAGCTATTTGTCCTATTCTTTCTCTTCCAAAATGAGTTATGATTCTTTTATGTTCTATTCATTTTGAATGTCTAACTTATTCCAGCAGTAGCTTCACTCTATTAAATTTTTGATATAAAAAATTATCTTATACATTATAGATTTTAAACCACAATTCATTTTTATTTGCTTTAAATTGTCCAAATTATATTAACTCCTCAAACTTACCAGCTACTAGTATAGGTAAAACCAACGAATGGCAGATGGTGGCCAGAAAATGCAGTATGTGTTGGTGGTGGCATCGTTTCCTACAGGAGGTAAAAACATCGCGTAAGAAATAAATAATTATGACTTGTAGGTTGGGCTATAAATATTAACTGAAAATAGGAAATATGTGACTGTTCAATTTAGAAACACTGATATGTTTGGCACAGATGTTTAGTGATATAATATTTAGACCATAAACATTCTATTGTAAAATTCTAGTAAAATGAAAATAAAGATGACAAGTCTGACTGATAGTGAGTACAGACATATTTTATGTAGTCCGTATTTTTAAATGTTTCTGGTCAATAAAATTTATTTGTAACCCAAAATCAATATTCACAGTACTTTAGCAGACATGTGAAGTGCAAAGAAAAATCCAATTTGCCTACACACACATTCCCAGCTGGACTTGAACAAGGGGCCGCTCTGCCTTCTCATTTCCTCTCTCACACTGTAAACAAGTGTTCTTTTCAGAGTCTAAGCGCACCATGTTTTTCACATTTTCATTCTTTTTATGGGTGCTTTTGCTGTTAAAGTGGCCTCCAAACATAGGGCTCAACTGCCATCTTTTGTTCCAAAGCAAGAAGACTGTGACATGCCTTACTACAAAGATGTGTCAGATAAGCTTCGTTCAGGCATGCAGCTGGCTGTGAGTCCAATGTTAATTAATTAGCAATATCTATTAAATAAGGTGTCTCTAAATAGAAACACACATAAAATAAGGTTATGTACTGATCTGTTGATGAAAATATCTTGACCACAGGTTCACAGGAACCTAACCCTACCTTCTCCTAGAAACAATGGTTCAACATTCACAACTACAGTGCTCACGGCAACTATATGGAACAGAACTGACTGTATTATGTATTTAATTTGGAATGACTCAATTTCTGTTAGCAGTAAATATATTTCCTGTAATAAAACACCGATGAGGAAAGTCTAAGAGAGATTTTTATATTGAATTTATCAAGGTAACATTGGTTAATAAAATTATATAGGTTTCAAGTATACAATTATATAATCCATCATCTGTATATTGCATTGTGTGTTCACCAAGTCAAGTCTCCTTTCATCACCACTGATTCACCTTTTACCCTCTCCTACTTCCTCCACCCCTCTTTCCACTTTTGGTAATCACTATACTGTTATCTGTGTCTATTAGGTTTTTTGGGTATTTTTGCTTATTTCCTTCACCTTTTTCAACCAGCCCCTCAACCTCCCTCTCCTCTCTGACAGCTGTCAGTCTGTTCTCTCTGTCTATGAGTCTACTTCTATTTTGTTAGTTTATTTTGTTCATTCGATTCCACCTATCAATGAAATCATATGGTACTTGTCTTTCTCTTATCTTGAATACGGTATTTACTGAATAGTGAAAAGTGATATAAGATTAAAATTAAAATTCTTAGTTATGCCATTAGAATTAAAACAGTAATAAAGTAATTGAGATAAATAAAAAGTCACATTAAGAAGGCTAAAAAAGGCAAAAAAAAACAAACCCAAAAATGTTATGCTCTTAGTTTTTTAAATTCTAATTTGATATAACCTAATAGTTTAGGGCAGAGGCTGACAAACTATGCTGGCCTGTTTTAGTACTGACCACAAGCTAAAAAGAGTTGAACATTTGGCTAACGTGCTGATCTGCTACTTGCCTCAAACAGGGCTACAACTTCAGGCTAGTAAAGCTATAGATTTTCTTGGCCCATCGTTTCCTACCAAGTTGGCTGTTTCTAGTGGTAGTACTACTGGCGTGGGTACTTAGCTCTCCAAATCAAGGCAGCCCCTCTGGTAGCGAAGCTGCCAAGTTTCTAAGTAGCTCCATGCTAGCAGCTCTACTGCTCCACCCAGCTGAGGGATGGAGAGGGAGCTGTTTTTAACCAGGTTCAGTGGTTTTTCATGAATAGATGCTTCTCAGTTTATTTACCTTAGGTTAATTTGTCAAGCCCCAAAATGGTTGATTTCGACAAGTTTGTCTAGTTTCGTGGTGGTTTATAAGGAGAGATTTGCCAACCTCCTTGCTTTGTCATCATGAATACACTTTATAAAGCACATAATTTGTCCTTTTCTTAGGAAACCTAATGGCATAACTAATCTAAGTAGTAAACCTTTGAATTTTAATTTTGCTCCCAGTCATGAATAACTATGTTTGCCTCTGTACACTCACTTAATTTCTTGAATTTGTGAATAAATACTAGAAGCCATAACCGTTTGACAGATCATTGATAAGGTGGTCCATAAAATTACTTTATAACCATATAAAAAGAATGGGGACAGAACTTCACACTGTCATACTCACTGAATTCTTTAAACAATCATCATCCACATCAAAATTCGATGTATCTGTTGGGCTACTAACTTCTGGAATATAAGGTGCGTCACAGTTTCTAATATTGTCCCAATCAATTCCACTGAAAAATGGGTGTTTCTTAAAGTCTTCTATTCCATTTTGACCAAGTCGATGTTCTCTGCTACAAATAAGCCTTCGAATAAGATCCTTCGCATTTTCAGACACATCTGTCACTTGAGCTGGAAACTGAAACCTCTCCTAAACAAATAATAGAAACAAAATGTAAATCAGTATTTAACTAAGTAGGTTAACATTTATTTTCTTGAAAATAATTTTCTTTTAAAATAATATCTAATAATATACTGATAGAAAGTACAAATAAAGAAGAAAATACAGGAATAAATGGGAAAAGAATGTCTTCCTAAAAAAACTTTTAATTTCATATGTGATTTAGTCATACATGCACTGTAGTAAGAATAAATTAAATGCTAAAATACCTTAAACTGTTGTCAGAATCAAGAAAACTCACTAAAAAATAGAATTTGCCTGAATATTTCAGGTGTACAGATGGTTCATATAAGCCACATATTAATGATAAATAATAACAGACATTTTATTTATTTTTATTTATTTTTTATCCTCACCCGAGGACATTTTTGCATTTATCTTGAGATAGAGTGGGAGGGAGAGAAGGAGGAAGAGAGAGAAACAGCAATGTGAGAGAGACACATTGAGTGGTTACGACCCACATGACCCCAACCAGGGCCAGGGACAAACTGCAAGTGAGGTACATGCCCTTAGCGGAAATCGAACCCGGGTCTCTCTGGTCCGCAAGCTGATGCTCTAACCACTGAGAAAACTGGCCAGGGTATAATAAACATTTTAAAAGAATATAATATGTACTTGACACTACTGAAAGTGCTTTACTCTTTAATCCTCACAACAATCATCTAAGGTAGGTATTACTATTATCCTAATTTTTATAGACGAGAAAACAAGGGCACAGAGCTCAAGCAATTCGCTCAAGGCCACACACTAGTAAATGGTAGAGCTGGGATTTGAACTGAATCTGCCTGACTCCCAACATCTGTGCTCTAAACAATCATGTTATAGTACAATGACTTCTCTCTGACATGCTTTAATGCTTTCTACAACTTTGTAGCTATTGTCTTTTAACTCTTCATCACTATTTATCAGATTATCTTTGCAACAAGGAAGAGCATAATTTCTATAAAGCTGATTTATACATGCGTGAAGCAAGTAATCATAAATGTGTCAGTAGAATAAATTAAAAAGAATAGATTATCACTCCCTTTATGGGGTACTCCTAGTCAAAGTCCCAGTTTTTGCAACTGCTCATAATTTTCTGATCAATAAAAACCTTCCTTTTCTTATTAAGAACAATCTATTTCTATTTCACTTGGTGCTAAGTGGATTAGAGTTTTATTAATTCATTCCTATTGTGCATGTGGATTGTTCTCAATATTCTGTGATCGTAAATAATACTGGAGAGGTATTCTAGTACATACATCTTTACTCTACTGAGTTCTTTAGGGTAGATTCCTACAGCCGAAGTTGCTCAATCAAAAGTGCCAACCATTTTTTAAAGACAAAAAGACTACATCAATTTATATTCCTATCAATAATGTCCATCTCACTGGATCATTTACAGTACAGAGTACTGTTTTTCTTTTCATCTTTATCAATTTGACAGGGAAAAAAGTATATCATTTTTATTTTAATTTGCATTTCATTTATCACTACTAAGGCAGAGAATTTTTAAATGCATTCTGGTCATGATTATACTGTAATAGTAATGATTAATAACAATCTGCTTAGTTCTGGCCAGTTTGGCTCAGCAGTTAGAGCATGATCCTGCAGACTAATGAGTCACGGGTTTGGTCCTGGTCAAGGGCATGTACCTCGGTTGCGATTCGTTCCTGGCCCTGGTTGGAGTCATGCGAGAGGCAGCCACTTGATGTGTCCCTTTCATGTCGATGCTTCTCTCTCTCCCTCCCACTCTATCTGAATAAAAATGAAAAAATGTCCTCAGATGAGGATTAAAAAAACAAAAAAACAATCTGCTTATGATTCTACTAGAAACCATTTAATTTCCTACTTATTACCTTCTCCACTAATAAAACACGTAATTTTATGCATAATAGACTTTGATTTTTCATATTTGTCATGTCCCCTATTAGCACAGAAATAAGAATGTATACTATTTTTAGAAAAACATTTTATTTTCAAATATCACATTAATTATATGTATTATTTACATTAATTTGAAAAACAGTAAAGCATACTAACTTTGTGATTCATAATTTTTCCGTATGTCTCCACCAGAGATTCTGCATAAAATGGTGTTTCTCCATAAAGCATCTCATACATACAGACCCCTAAAGACCACCAGTCACACTCAGGTCCATATCTGCCTTTTCCATCTTCCATGGCTTGAAGGATTTCAGGAGAGATATAATCTGGAGTTCCAACAGCCACTGAGGACTGGACCTGAAGAAGTTCATATTTTTAGTAATCTATTATAATATTTTAGAAATAAATCATTTTAAATAAAAAATATTTACAAGTACTTACACAATAGATAGTATCTCGTAACTACAACTTTGTCATTATCTGAATTTAGCCTCCTTATATATATAAGTTAAATTTTACATAATCTCCATGCTAATAGTTCTCAAGATTTCACAACACTATAGAACCTTTATTATAGCTATTATTTAATTGACACATTTAGGGTAACAATATTATTTAAACATCACAGCCATAATACTGAATATTTAGTTTCAAAGAGTCTCTTTTTTTTAACTGGTATTTTTTGTGTTGACAGTAATTCACAGTTGATTCATATATACCTATATCTGTCTGCCTTTGTTCCATCAGATAGAACAGTCTTATTGATAATCTGTCTAACAGGTACGTATAAAACACTGGAGCTGTAAAAATTTTACCATTAGTTATAGGGGGGAAATCCCTGAAAAAACTTGGCTAATACTTATAACCAACCTGGAGATTATTTTTAAATACTTTAATGGAAACTTAAGGAAAAAAATGATGACAGTGTCCTGCAAACTACTTATTAATTTAGAGAACTATAAAAAAGGAAAAATATAGCTTTCAAAAAATAAAGTCCCAATAGAGAAAAATAGTTGGGCATATAGTTAGTTAGGGCAAGTTGGATATCAATTAGAAAATGACAGCTAAAAAAGATCTTGGGAATAAATTTTGTAAGATACTCTAAAGTAAAAGAAAATTGGTTCCTTATATGATTTAAAAGAACATATCGGAAAAAGAAATATTCTCAAGGTAGAATAACGGTTAATATTCTGAATTTTCTGGACTAAATGATCATTCTTAATAATCATTAGAATAGACTTCCTCTTTGGCAATACTGAGATTAAGTAATTTGAAAACTCATTCGTTGCAAACTCTTAAAAATACTAGATAAAATACAACAACCATTTTTTATAAATATAAAACAAGCTTTTAAAAAAAGAACAGAGGGGTCATGACCCACAGGTTGAGAACCACTGCCCTAGAGGGTATACTGTAAACAAAAAGATGAATTTCAAAAATCTGCCACTCAGCAGAGAAAGATAAGACATTTTGCCTACTCAGATTGCAGCTGATATTCTAAGAAAACCTCCTCCTCTAAAAACCCATAACTTTAGGTCAGAGACCCACCATTGGGATTTTAATTCACAGTGCTTCTGCAGTACAGAAGTTCTCAAGCCAAGAAACTGGCAAAAACATTGGCACCAGGTTAGGTGCCCCAAAAAGCCTGGCATAACAAATTCAAAACTACTCTAGAGAACACATGCTCAAACCTGGCTATATATAATTTTCACACATAAAAGTACACTGAAGATGAGCTTGCAATCCAATATTATAAACTAAATAAGTAAACATTCCACTAAGTAAAAGTCAGAAATCTGAACAATACAATTAAACTCCTAACAATTATCAGTTCCACTTCATGAAATAAATATGTTTAAATTTACTTGACATTTTATTTTATTTTTAATCAAAAGCAGAAGATGAAAAAAAAAAAATCAAGTAGGAGTCCTAGAAATCAAAAACAATAACTAGTCAATGAAATAAAAAACATAGTAAATCTGTGGAAGGTATGAAAAGGTAAATAAAACTAGATACACTTCTATATACACTATAGTTAAAAAATACAGAGCACCAGCCCTGGCCAGTTTGGCTCAGCGGTTAGAGCGTCGGCCTGCGGTCTGGAGAGACCTGGGTTCAGTTCCCGCTAAGGGCACGTACTTCGGTTGCAGTTTGTCCCCGGCCCCGGTTGGTCGTGCGGGTGGCAGCCACTCGATGTGTCCCTTTCACGTCGATGTTTCTCTCTCTCTCTCTCTCTTCCTCTCTCTCCCTCCCACTCTATCTGTACAAAAGATGGAAAAATGTCCTCGGGTGAGGATTAAAAAATAAATAAAAATACAGAGCACCACCTGGCCAGTGTGGCTCAGTGAATTCAATGTCATCCCATGGACTGAGAGGTCCCGGTTTGATTCCCAGTCAGGGCACATGCCTGGGTTGTGGGCTCCACCCCCAGTAGGGGGTGTGCAGAAGGCAGCCGATCAATGTTCTCTTCCACATTGATGTTTCTCTCTCTCTAAAAAATAAATCAATAAAAAAAAAAATATATATATGTATATAAAATACAGAGCACCAAAAGCAAAAAGATTAAAAACATTAAAGAACAAAAAGAGATTACATAGCAAGGAATGACAGAGTGACAGCTGAATTATTAATACTATCATAGCAGTAAGAAAAAAGAACTCTTTCTTCAAAGACAAAATGATTGCAAAAATTTAATTTCCTACTTACCAACATTACAATACAGGAATGAGGGTTAAATAAAGACATTTTCACACAAAGACTGAGTGAACTACCACATGTAGACCCTTTCAGACAAACAGAAGCACTAAAGAACATACCTCATAAAATAAGTTTAACCCAGATGGAAGGATGTGATACTAGAAGCAATTGTGAACAAAGATATTAGTAAACTTTGTAACTTTTACAATTAGTAAAATTATGAAAAAAGATACTAGTAATGACAGAGAAAAGGAGGAAGAGGACAATGAGGAGTAGGAAGAGGAGGAGAAGGAAAAGGAGGTGGCCGAGGAGGAGGAGACTACTTGAAGATTGAAAAATATAAGATGAAACTAAAATACTAGAAAACAAGTTACTAAGAGAGCAATTCGGATTAAAATGGTCTAAGTTTCTTGGTGGTTTTTTTTAAACATTTATCTTTATTTACTTTTTACTTTTTTTTTTTTTAATCCTTACCCAAGGATATTTTTCCATTTATCTTCAGATAGAGTGGAAGGGAGGGAGGGAGACAGAGAGAGAAAGAAACATCGGTGTGAGAGAGACACACCGATTGGTTGCCTCCTGCAAGACCCCAACCAGGGCCAGGGACCAAACCACAACTGAGGTACATGCCCTTGAATGGAATCCAACCCGATACTCTTTGGTCCTCGGACCAATGCTCTAATTGCTGAGCCAAACTGGCCAGGGCTTAAATATTGTTTTTAATTGTGGTAAAGTACTCATAACAAAATTCATTATCATAACCATTTCTAAGGGTACAGTTCAGTGGCACTAGTACATCTACACTGCTGTGCAATTATAACATCCAACTCTAGAACTCTGTTCATCATGCAAAACTGAAGCTGTACCCATTAAACAATAACTCCCTTATTCCCCCCTCTTCTCAGGCCCTGGCAACTACCACTGTACTTTCTTTTTTTTTTTTTTTTAATTTTTGTTAATCCTCACCCGAGGACATTTTTTCCATTTTTTATTCAGACAGAGCGGGAGGGAGAGAGAGGAAGAAAGAGAGAGAGAAAAACATCGACGTGAAAGGGACACATTGAGTGGCTGCCACCCGCACGACCCAATCAGGGCCAGGGACTAACTGCAATTGAAGCACGTGCCCTTAGCAGGAACCGAACCCGGGTCTCTCTGGATCGCAGGCCAACGCTCTAACCGCTGAGCCAAACCGGCCAGGGCCCACTGTACTTTCTATGTCCATTTATGTCTGGCTGATACCACTTAGCATAATGTTTTCAAGGTTTATCTATGTTGTAGCATATTAGAATTTCCTTCCTTTAAGGCTGAATAATATTCCAATGTATTCATATACATTTTACTTATCCATTTATCTGTTAATCAACACCTAAGTTACTTACACCTCTTGGCTACTGTAAATAATGCTGCTACTGAACATGGTGTACAAATCTCTCTCTGAATCCTTGTTTTCAATTTTATGGAGTATATACTCAGAAGTGAAATTCCTGGATCATATGGTAATTCTATTTTTAATTTCTTTAAGAACTGCCATGCTGTTTCCAGAGAGGCTATAGAATTTTACATTCCCATCAACAGTGCACAAGGGTTCCAATTTTTCTACATCTTTGTCAACACTTGTTATTTTCTGTTTTTTTTTATAGTAGCCATCCTAATCGGTATGAGGCAGTATCTCATTGTGGTTTTGATCTGCATTTCCATAAAGATTAGTGATGTTGAATATCTTTTCATGTGCTTGTTGGCCATCTGTATATCTTCTTAGGAAAAATGTCTATTCAAGATCTTTGCTCATTTTCAATTGGGTTATTTGTATTGAACTATAGGTGTTCTTTATATATTCTGGATATTAACACTTTCATCAGACACATGATTTGCAACTATTTTCTCCCATTCCATAGGTTACCTTTTCACCAATGTGATTGTGTCCTTTTATGCACAGAAATTTTTACTTATGTTGTCCAGTTTATCTATTTTTCTTTAGTTGCCTGTTGTGTGGTATCATACCCAAGAAATCAATGCCAAATCCAATGTCATAAGCTTCCCCTCCATGTTTTCTCCCAAGTGTTTTAAGTTTTAGCTCTTATATTTAGGTCTTTGATCCATTTTGAGTTCATTTTTGTATATGGCATAAAATACACTAAGTTTCTTGTTTTAATTAGGAATATGGTAGAAAAAACTGATTAACTCTATATTTTAGGTAAACTATAAATGTGAAAATTTTAAAGATAAACATTAAAATATTTGAAACAGAATGCATAACTTCCAAAACAAGAAAAAGAGAAATAAAACTAAATTTGACCAAGCCAATAGAAGGCAGGAAAGGATAAACAGAAAACAACAACAACAACAACGAGCGTATATACAAACAAACAAGCAAAATCTATAGTAAATAGCACAAGAGAGGATACTAGGAATATATACAAGTATATCTAAAATCATGGAATTCATCAGATCAAATTCACCTATTAAAATACAGCATTGTCACACTGCATGACAAATAAAACGAAAATGAACATTTTTTTTTAATCCTCACCCAAGGATTTTTTTTTACTGATTTTAGAGAGAGGGGAAAGAAAGAGAGAAACAGGGATATGAGAGAGAAATATCGATCGGTTGCCTCCTGAACTTTCCCTGACTGAGGATTGAACCCACAACCTGGATGT